GGGGGGGGGGGGGGGGGGGGCTGGCAGTGTCCCTACCAATGCTGAGACCAAACCTACGCCCTTGATGAGATGTTAATCAGAAAATTCCAACATATAAATCTCAATGAAAACAAGGTCCAAGGAGTGGCTTGAATATTACAGAAAATAATAATTAGCTGGATGATATTCTTGGGGTGGATTGTCCCTGTTAAACCTGACAAAATAAAGTAACCACGAGTAATGCTATTATAAATCGACGAGGCTGTAATACAAAAATCACATTTTACAATCAGGGACATTATAATACTCTGATCTGGTGGGAACTTAAATACATCCAAATGAATCAAGTCATTCATTAATCATTGATCGTCTTTGTACTCTTAATATGTCTGTATGATTTTAGATGCAAGGACAGGAATATATTGTAGTTTAGTGATGTGCAGTGGTGGAAGAGGTACTCAGATCCTTTACTTGAATACAAGTAATAATACCACAATGTAAAAATACTCGAATACAGGTAATGGTCCTGCATTCAAAGTCACTGAAGTCAGAAGTACACATCAGCAAAAGTAGAGCTGAAACTCAGAGTTGATCAACAGTAAATTAAACGACAGCTGTTTTGATAATCTATGATGTATTTTTTTCTAGCAAAAATGCTCATACATTAGTACCAGTTTCAAAATTAGGATTTGCTTTCCATTCTCTTGTATGATGGTAAATGGAATATCTTTGGGGTTTGGACTGTTGGTTGGACAAAAGACATTTAAAGATATTACCTTGACCTTTAAGGAATTGTGATCAATATGTTTCACTATTCTCTGACCTGTCATAGGCCAAACCATGAATCAATTAACCAAGGAAATAATTGGCAGAAAAATTGATAATGATAAAAAGATCAATTGTTTATCAACTTGCTGAAACCAACATGAAAACGGAGCAATGAGAAAGACGAACATATCAACCTCTTAAAACAAATGCAGGTTTATACAATCCAGTGGAATTATAGATAAGAAATAATCTGAAGCACACCAAATTTACCAACATTACAAAATACTTAGAAAAACATGCATGTTCATTTTCAACATGCCATGAAAGACACTCCACCATGTATCAAAATCATATGAAATTCTGGGTCACAATTATACGCACAACATCTTAAAAAAATACAAAAATCTTTTTCAGAAACCCATTCAAAGGGGTTCACAGCCTCAGAGGGTCAAATGCACATATTATTTAGCTAGTTTGTTTAGTTTAAGTGACAGGTTACTTTCCTATAGTGTGTACTTTATAGTGTATACATTTGTAAATGGGTCACATGGGCGGTTTCAAATTATTATAATTGTATGACTGTAAAACAAATACAAATAAATTAAAGTGAAAGACTGCACTATTATTATTATTTTATCCTTATCAGGGAGATGACTCTGAATCAAAGAACTGGACCGTAAAGCTTTATGTGGCCATAAAAGAAGACACTGAAGTTTTTTTTTTAATATATACTTGAATTAAGCAAAGAGTCCTGGTGGAGACCAAACTGAAAGACAATCTTCAGCCACATGAGCTCTTTCTTCCTGTTGACCACATGGTGTTAACTTCCAAACTGTTTTACTGCTTTTCCCAGGGTCTCCTTTTCTGATGACGGAGGGAACCCTTAAAGGGAAACAGAACACAGGTTATGACTGAACAAGAACCTCACCAATTTTACACTCTTGATAGAGATAGCGTTTTTGACTATCTTCAATCCTTCAATAACCACGTGCAATAAAGAAACAGCCTTGACCTGCTTTAAAACAATCTGATCACAGCAGAATCCATCTGCAGTGACAACAAAAAACCTGCAGCAGGTGTTCCACCTGTTGGCCAGGGCTACTTACGGAGTACATGCTGGAGAGGTTGTTAAAAAGCTCTTGGCATGCGCTCACTTTGTTCCTCACTCCTCGTATGGTCCCGTTCTTGCTGCAGATGTTGATCCGTTTGTTGCTGAAGAGCATCTCTCTCTTGGCACTGGCGTACAGGAGCAGGTCATCGGGTTCGCAGCCGTTCGCGTCTACGGTAGTTTCCACCGCCAGGGCGTTCAGGTGGCTGTTGGCCTCGCTGTCGGCGGGAGGCGAGCTCCCCTGCTCCGCCTCTGGGCTGCTAGCGCAGTCCGAGTCCACCGAGTCCGACGCTGAGCCGCACCAGGCCGCTTCATCCTTGAACACCTCCGCCAAGACCCGGCCGCTGTTGGCAGATGCGACTCTAAACCTAACTGTTTTCACAGCACTTTCTTTTTCCCGTTTCAATTCTGGCCCCTCCATTGAAATACAAAAGTGTCTTACATTGTTTCAGGTCCCATTCAGAAAAGCCAGACTCGCTCTTTTAGCCTATAAGCCATATGGTCTGCAATTATCAAACAATAATATCCCCATTGACGTGTCAGAATGAGCTGAAAATACCCCGGGTACGAAAACTAGACACCCAAATGGTTAATAATACATGAGCGTCTGTCATGGTAACAGCTAAAACAGGCAAACAGTAAATTGATATTACCATATGTTCAATAATTGATCAAGGTTAGTTTTCAGACAGCAGACAGGCCTGTCTTTTACTTTCAACACGTACCCTTAAAGCACTACAGATAACCTTTACATATTTATTTATTTATTATAATGGAATACAAATATTGCCAGAAAGCAATTTTTTGCTTGTCAGTCATCGGACAGTAAATAGGTCTCTATTAGCTGAGTCAGTGTTTTGATTGTTTATCATTGTTATTGGTTTAATTACCTTGTTAGTTAACTATCTCTGACTATTTGTAATTCATATTGTAACGACCCTTGGTCAGGAAAGCTACGAGACGTTATTTTACTTGTGGTCCTTTATTTGCGGACAGTACACAGGCTACTGTGGGCCGTAGCCTACGCCAAACAAACAGTCAACACTGTTAACGTTCTCTAACATCCTTAACCATCTGCTCCCGGTCATAGACTAGCTCTCGCAGTTACCAGCACAAAACAACATCTCACAAGGCATGAGGCCTTCACTGACCTCCGTAAATGCTAGAACCAATCTTAGATAACATCTTAGAACACTTTCTGTAAACACCATAAAACCTAACATAACAGGTTGACATTATATGTCACTCAGTCCGTTACACTATATATATATATGAATATATATATATATCGTATATATATATATGTCACTAGCTGCATATGCTAATTTCAGCGCTCTGTAGCTTTTCTATCTTTTTACAACAATCAAATAAACCGAACGGCTTAAAGTGCTCCCGTGGACAGAAACTCAAATCCTCCCTGTGGACTTTTCCAGCTCTTTAACGGTGATCTTTGGACTCTTTATTGCCTCTCTAATTGGCTGATCCTCTGGCTTTAGTCCTCTCTTTAAGGTTTGTTTTCATGTCATATTCTTTCCATTTTGTAATAATGGATACTGATGTTTAGCAGCTATGAATTTGACCACCAGTTAGTTTCATTTAAAATGTTGCACGGTGTTTAATTGAATTCCTGGACTCCAGAGTAGTAGAAGTTGGGGTCATTTCATTCTCCATACAGGTGATGAACCGTCTGATCTGAGTCACTGTATTGGAGTCAGTTTATTGGTTTATTTTGTATGGCGTTTAGCACCCCCTAGTGGCGATTGTGAATAGCTGCACTGAAGAGGAAGTGAGCAAATAGTATCTCCTTCCCTATGTGGGACATTTTGGATTTTTAGTTGTAGTATTCAACATAATTTATTTCAACGTGTCAGGTGACGTTTTAGAGAACATTTCCAAACAATTTCTCTTCGACATTACCAGAAAAAAATGTGTGTGTGTGTATATATATATATATATATATATATATA